TCAGGTCATGATCTCATAGTTTGTGGGTTCGAGCCCCGCGTCAGTTTCTGTGCTGACAGCTCGAAGCCTGGAGCCTGCTTCGGATTTTGTGTCTCTGTCTCTCTCTTCCCTTCCCCCGCTCAAAAATAAATAAAAATGTTTAAAAAAATTAAAAAAGAAAAAAAGAAAAAGCCAGAGACTGTGCTCACAGAAGGTCTTTTGTTCTCAGAAAATAACCTGCCTAGATTGTTTTTGTGTAGAGAGTGATTTTTTTTTTATTTTAAAGATTTTTTTTAATGTTTTTTATTTACTTAGAGAGAGAGAGACTAAGCACCCCCAAAATAACTACTTTAAAAAAAATTTTTTTTAATGTGTATTTATTTTAGAGAGAGAGCGCGTGAGCTGGGGAGGGGCAAAGAGATGGAGACACAGAATCTGAAGCAGGCTCTTGGCTCTGAGCTGTCAGCACAGAGCCAGATGCAGGGCTCGAACTCATGAGATGGGATATCATGACTTAAGGTGCTTAACTGACTGAGCCACGCAGGCACCGCAAAAACAACTACTTTTTAAATAACTATTTTTAAAAGAAAACAATTTGTCATTATAAAAAAATTCAGAGTTTATAAAAGTCTATAAAAGAGAATGAAAAAAACCTCAGTTAATTAATGTTTTATAATAAAATCTTCTGGATCTTTATTTTTATGCACCTTTATAGTTAAAACACTTATTTTCATAAAATAAATTTTTAATAGTGGAATTTTGGGCATCAAAGTGTAATCATATTTTTAAGGCCCTTTATATAAATGTTGTCATACTGTCCCTCAGAAATGCTGTACTTACGTAACTTTTCTACAGTTAATATCTGAAGTTATTATATAGTGTAGCCAGCTGTGAGTGTTGGCATTCTATTTAATCTGTGCCAATTTGTAAAAGGAAAATTTGTGTCTCTTTTATTTCTATTCTTTGATTATTAGCCATTGTTTCCTATTTCTGAATTGTCTGTTCATGTTTTTGGCCCATTTTCTCATGCATTTTTGTCTTTCTTTTTAGATTTCTTAGGACCTCTTTATATATTAAAGATATTAAACAATGGGTGTCATATGTATGTTTCTGTTTATCTTAAACTTTATGACTGTTTTAAAAAACTTAATTTGACTGTTTTGCACTGCTGAGTTTGAATTTTCTCTACATGGGCTTAAACTTATTTACACTGAATTGTTTGTAGTGGTCCAGTATAGTATTTTGACCTCTGTGTGGTTAAAATTTAGGATATGTTATGAGACGAAGATCCAAGCCACAGAAGGAATCGGAATTTCTGTTTAACTTCAGTAACTGATCCACTTATTACTCTGTACTGAAGACATAATTTTTTAGCAGTATTGGTTTGCATTACATTGTGAGCATGACTAAAGAACGAAATAAAAGGGGCACCTGGCTGGCTCAATTGGTAAAGCATGTGACTCTTGATCTTGTGACTGTGGGTTCAAGCCCCGCATTGGGTGTAGACATTACTTGAAAATAAAAAATCTTTAAAAAAAAATTCATCTTTTACAAAAGCATAAGCTTGTCATTTGCTTACATATGTACCTTCATTCAGATATTAAATTTGTTAACTTCAGGAATTTCACATTAGAACAACTGGCAATTCTAAGTAGGTTAGGTCCTAACTTCTGAAATCCTGAAATAGGAACCAACAAGTTGGGGCCGGTTGGCGGGCTTTCAGCATAATTCACCCCTTGGAGTGATAATTTGGAGTTGAATAGTCTCTCTGTGGAGATGACACCTTAATGCCCTTTGCTCCTGATGATGATCAGGAGGCTTTTTTGGCTTTATCACTGCTGTAATGTCATGTTCTTCTTCATATGAAGTTTCAAAAGAGACAGAATAGTAAAGGTGCTCACTTTGAACATTCTAAGTCGAAGAAAGTGTGTCGAGTTGTGTTTGATTGTCATTTTATTTGTTTCATCTCTAGAATTCTTCCTCATGGGTACTGTATAACATGGCTTCATTTTACTGGAGAATAAAGAATGAGCCATATCAGGTAGTGGAATGTGCCATGCGAGCACTTCACTTCTCTTCCAGGTAAGGTTTCTCCCTTTCTGGACTGCCTGAGTCTCCACATAACTCAGGACTGTTAAAGAAACAATGCATAAGAAAACAGTATGAAGAAGCATTCTTTTGTACTTAACACTCTCCTCTATCCCTGTTCAAAGAATTTAGTCCCATCACAAAAAAAAAAAAAAAAAAAAAAAAAAAAAAAAAAAAAAAGACCAGTGTCAGAAAGCTCAAAGTTCAAATACATTATTTGTTCAGAGTTCAAAATGCAAAGTTTAATAATGTTCTTCTAATTTCCATTAAGGAAAAAATATATAATATAGACACGCTCTGATTCACTTGAGACTTGAATATAAGAAACTTGCCTGGAGGAATTAGCATAAATTAAATTTTTCTCAAAACAAATAATAAGCCCTAAATATATTTTAAAATCAAAAAATGTCTGCAAGACCTTATTTTTGTGGCAAAATTTGTAGCTATCAGATTGAATAAGCACCATCAGTTATGTAAAAATGAAACAGTATGATTTTCTTAAGTTATTTTCTCCATCTATCGGTATACTCAAAGTTAAGTTCAATAACTTCAGATGTAATTTTCCCTTGTCAAGTAGTTATGTAATCATATAGAGCACATGCTTCTTTCCTAACGTCTAATTACGCCTCTCCTTCTCTTTTAGGCACAATAAAGACATTGCCCTGGTCAACTTGGCAAATGTTCTGCACAGAGCTCACTTCTCTGCAGATGCTGCTGTTGTGGTCCATGCAGCTCTGGATGACAGTGACTTCTTCACCAGCTATTACACTTTGGGAAACATATACGCAGTAAATACAACGTTTTTGTTTCATGAGCCAAACCAGTTGCTCTTTTCCTTTCTGTTTTAAATAATTTATTTCCAGTTAAAAATTACCTTTTTTCCTTCCTCTTTTGGTCTGAACAAGAAAAAGGGAATGGAAATGAAGAAATTAGGATGAAAAACCTCAACACAATAATGTATCATAATTGTCTTAGCCTCTTGACAAAAAAGAAAAATAATTGATAGTAATATTAAATTCCTGCAGAGTGCACCTCTTAAGCTAGTTATACTTTCTAGTTATCTTATACCATATCTTATGTTGTAGATTTGGTCACTGATCAAAAATAACGTTCACTGTAGAGTAAGATGTAAGTGTGAGCTCATAAATCATTAGGAGATTTGGACAGATCCAGCCAGGCCGTGGCTGACGTTTTTCCTTGTGTGTGTGTGTGTGTGTGTTTGTTTTTGTCTCTTCAGATGCTGGGGGAGTATAACCACTCAGTGCTCTGTTATGACCATGCTTTGCAAGCCAAACCTGGGTTTGAGCAAGCTATAAAGAGGAAGCATGCTGTCCTGTGTCAGCAAAAACTCGAGCAGAAATTGGAAGCTCAACATAGGTAATTGGAAAAGACAATTTCCCTGAAGCCCTAAGTTAGACCTGTGTAGGGTGATGTCAATGTTAATTTGTTCATTAGAATTAAGAAAAACCTCTTCATTACTGCTAGTCCTGTCCCTTTTCTCTAGGTGTAGGAAGCTCAGCACAATTCAGAGGAGTCTTTAATAGCATGGATTCCAGGAACTAGAGAATCTTTGCTGTAAATTCTGTCATTTTAGATCTTTACACTTCTGACCATCGATTGCTTTTATGAAGTCAGATGGATTGGGGTGCTCTTGAACACTAACTCTATTATGTTTTCATTTCCATAGAATGCATTGTCAGTAAAATCACTTGCATGTGCTATATTTGATCTTTCTCCCCTTTAGCTGCCTTGTTGGGTTATTGTTAAGTTAGTTAAGTGATGTTGAGAAACATTATTTGGTGCATATTTTAATCAGATTTCTATAAATTGTACAGTAATGAAATTCTGTTGTAGTTGGCCCTTGCAGTATGCTTAATTTAAAAAATGTATTTGATTCCATAAATAGTAGGGCCAGTTAGGAAACTTCACATAACTCAAAGTGAATTGTTCTTCTCTTATGAAAGAGAACATTGAGGCTACTTTGATTATCAGAGAACTAAATGGACATTTGGAACTCCTTAGATTACTGTATTTGGTTATTTTCCAGTCAATTTAAAGCATAATGTGGTGAAAAGGAAGGAATGACCACTTACTTGTTTATACCTGACTTCTGTTACACCTGATCAGAACTTGTCCTGGCTGAGTGAATTGGTTCTCTGTGTAAGCACAGTCTGTACAGCTCCTAAATCTCCATATGTTACAATGTAATAGGTAGAAAGGATTTTATGACTAAAAATAATCAGGCAGCTGATCTATTGATACCAGGTGGTAGAAAATATTCCTTTCTAAGCCAGGCTTCTATGGTTTTTCCCAAAATCACAAACCCAGGGAGCTACAGTTCAAGGGCTAGGTACTGTTGGCCTTTTCTGTTAACCTTGTCTTTATGCAGAATCAAAAGAAAAGATGGTAAGGAAGCTTTGAATGTCAGTGGAACTAACACACACTTTGTGGAGGCAAATAGTTGTTGAGATGCAAAATGTTATAGTATATTGTTTTATATCTTTCGGGTACCTGAACCATCCCAACACACCATTTAAAGTCGGGATAGTTGTACTTAAGGGGAAGAATTTTGCATCCATCTTTTTTACCCCCAAGTTAACAAACGACAGGTTTATTTTACCCCATTATTTTGAACTTGTGGTACAGTGGTTGTAGCTTAAAAGGAAAAAAAAAATTTTTTAAGGAAAATAGAATCCTTGCTGATGACCACAAAATCTATGCAGTAAGTGTGTTTAAAAATTCAATTTTAAAGCTCTATAACTTTTTCCTGGTGTTGAAAAATGTTAAGATCCCTCCAGCGAACACTGAATGAGTTGAAAGAATACCAAAAACAGCATGACCACTACTTGCGACAGCAGGAGATCCTAGAGAAACATAAGCTGATTCAGGAGGAGCAAATCTTAAGAAATATCATCCATGAGACACAGATGGCAAAAGAGGCACAATTAGGTAAGTATTGATTCCAAATCATTGAAGACAGGTTAGGAAGTTCACTTCTAGCATGTTCTACATTCATAACTTTTGTGTAGCCTTAAAGTAGTATAAAGTTGTGGTTTACGACTCCCCTCAGTCTTAAAAGTGAGTCCTCATAGTGGGTATACCAACAGACCTGGGGAGCTGGTTTCTAAAAAAGCTGGTCTCTAGCTTTTTTAAAATGCACATTTTATTGTAAAAAATTTTTTAGATCCTAGAAGTCTTAACAACAGTTGTTTGGTCAAGTGCATGCCAGTCTCTTGGAGATCTTTTTGAAATGCAGGTTCTGATCAGTAGGTCTGAGGTAGGACTGAAGATTCTGTATTTCTAACAAGCTCCTCCTATTGGATGTCTGTTGCTGCTGGTCTGAAAACACTGTGAGTAATGTGGCCCGGGCCATATATCAAGTAAACACAAGCCAGACACACCCTAGAAACAAAGCATCCACACACTCCAGCCAACACAAACTAACTCTTATTTTCTTGCTCCCTTAAAAACAAGTATTTTATTTTAAAAGATTTTAGACTGGTATTTGTCTCAAGCAGGAATTCTTAACCTGGTTAGTTTCAGGAGGTTCTAAATCCTCCCCAAAATTATATGCAGTAATGTGTGTGTGCACAATTTTTTTTTTTTTTCCTGGGAAGAGGGCATATAGATTTTATTAAAACTTCTTAGAGTCCAGGGGCACCTAGGTGGTTCAGTCAGTTGAGTATCCAACTCTTGATTTCGGCTCAGGTCATGATCTCAGGGTTTGTGATTTTGAGTCCCTCATCAGGCTCTGTACTAACAGTGCAGAGCCTGCTTGGGATTCTCTCTCCCCCTATCTCTCTCTGCCCTGCCCCTCCCCCATGAACGCTCATGCCTGCGTGTGTCCACATGCATGGTGTCTCTCTAAATAAATAAATAAATAAATAAATAAATAAATAAATAAACTTAAAAAAATAAGAATTATTAAAACACAGAACAAAACAAAAACTTCTTAAAGCCCATGACCCAATAGATCCACTGTCTTAAGGGCACTTGGGTTGACAGGATATCAGTGACTTGGTTATATCCAGAATGTCTCATTTCTGATAAACCCCATTGGGAGTAGATCTAACAGCTAGACACCAAAGAATAAATTAATAGAATCCCTTATATTATATACTTCTCCCTTGATAAATATATTGATCTGGGAGGCCTCTTAATCTTTAAACCTTAGCTGTGACCATTTAAAGTCCATTATACAGTCCATCTAACAAGTTTTCTTTGCTTTTTTGCATGTAAGGAGTATGTTCAGTCCTTGGGGTTATTTACTGCTTGCTCTGTACTGCAATACAACCAGAGCTCTTAAACATATACATTTAAAACAAAAATATGAAGTAGATAAAGCAGACTGTCTCCAGAGAGATGGCAAAAGTCCCTTAAAACAGTGTAATTAATGATTTTACAGCCATAGAATGCAATTGCCACAAGATACTTTGGTGATTTAGCCGCTTTGTTTTTATAGGTGGAGAAACACCCTTCTTTAGAATGATTTTAGTTAACCATTAGTTTCCCTGTGTAAGCACACCCTGTGTAGGTACTCTACCAGGCTCTGACACCAAATGGCTTAGACTGAGGAAACCATGTTGGCATTGCTGATCTTTCTCCACAATGGTAATTTCCTTTCTTATTCCAGGAAATCATCAGATATGCCGGCTGGTCAATCAGCAGCATAGTTTACACTGCCAGTGGGACCAACCTGTGCGCTACCATCGTGGAGACATTTTTGAAAATGTGGACTATGTTCAGGTCTTTTTCTTGGTCTCTTTTAGTTCTTATAACTTTGCATATCTAAGAGTAATATTGCTTCCTCCGACGCTTGATTCCTTGTATATTCGATCCTGAAAATTTGTGAATAATTTAAGGTTTGAGTATGTTTATGAAGTCAGATTTTATAGATAATACTCATTTGCTTCATGCATGACATTTCCAGATCCCCCAAGTACCAGCTGTAATGTCTATTTGTGTGTCTTTATTTCTTTTCTCCTTTACCATGAGAGCTTCATTGGATTGTTATTAGTATTTAACTCAAAGCCTTCATCTCCCCCGTTTAACTTATTGGAGTAATACCAGTAATTTAAAATTTGGGAAAGAGTAGCTGTGGTCTTTCCTGAAGTCATCAGTCCAGTTATGTTGCTTCAGCTAAAAACTTTAACAAAATGACCATTATCAATAGAAAATTTTTATTAAGCCGTATTTCTACATGCATGTGTGTTTTCTCTTTCTGTTTCTGTTTCTATGTATATCCATACGTATACGTGTACTTATATGCATACATATATGTGTAGTCATACACACACATACAATCCTAGCCTATCTAATTGGGAAAAAATAATACATAATTATAATGATTCCAAATAGCATCTAATTGGTGCTGTTATAGATAGCAAACACAACCAGAGTTCCAAGTGTCATCCACAAGGATGTTGGGAATAAAGTAACACGTTATCTTATCCTATCAAAATCTTATCATGTCTTTAATCATAGATCTAGGAATTTCCAGAGAGAAGCAGTTAAATAATTAAAAGATTAAAACAGCTTCTAGGGGAAGACAAACGGTGAAGAATTAATACACTTTAATCTGAAAAACTCCAGACCTCATTGAAAAAAAGAAGCAAAAATTAAGAGGCCATTTAGGGGAGAAGTAGTATAGGGACCACAAGCTTCCTGTGATTTGTCAAGTAGGTGCTAGCAGTATCCCAGGTTTTATTTTCAAAGGACGATAAGACTTACACCTCTGAGATTATAGCTCCCGGCCTTGAATCCAAGCATTATTTTAAGGGGAAAAAAGGGAATATTTATAAATGAAATAGACTAAAACCCAGGTAACTTTGGGGACATACCTTGGAAGACTCCCCTGTACCAGTGTAGCGTTCAGTCTTATATATCCATAGGTTACATCTCTACTATATAGTGAAAGAATCCATTCTTTTCTACTCCCTCCCATACTGGTCCCATTTTCTTATCTAACAAGGTTTTAGAAATAAACAGAAGCTGTGGTATCCTGTAAGAATATCAAACATTGATTTACCTTGGTTTGGAGGAAGACTGTATTTATATTTGGAGTTGATTGTGTAATAGTTATAATGCCTAAATCATAGCTATATTAAACTCTTGAGCCCTTTTTTAAGTTCTGTTGTTTCTACCGCAGCACACGAATTTTATAGAGTAGCAATCATTTTAGTCTAGGTAGGGGAGGGGAATAATGAGCCAAACCTCTAGATAATAAGCTCATCATTAAACCTAAAAGAGACTAAATCATGAAAAGGAAGTAATGGGACAATAAAGAAGGGAAGTAAAGAGTCCATGCCATTTTCCTCATATCCCAAGGGCATAGTTGATTGAGAATCGCTAACTATGCATTTTCTAAGAGAATGGTGTTGGGACCTAGTTCTGAAAATATAAACATCTGGTTGCTTTGATACTAACCTACTTTCAGATTTCCTACTGGGTTTGAGTATTCACTAATATTTTGGGTTAGGTTAAATCTTAGTCATAACTTCTTTCCTGCTTCCAATTTGATTGAACTGTTCTTTTCATTTTCTAGTTTGGTGAGGATTCATCAACCTCCAGTATGATGTCTGTGAATTTTGATGTTCAGGCAAATCAGAGTGATATCAGTGATTTGGTCAAGTCTTCTCCTGTAGCCCATTCCATTCTCTGGATCTGGGGCAGGGATTCTGATGCATATAGGGTAAGAGAATGATTTCTCAGGAGTTTTCTCAGACAAGATTTTTTAAAGCTGTGACCCTCACCTTCATTGATTAATATGGTCCCTATCACTGTTCAGCTTAGTTCCACAAACACTTATTAAACTTCTATTAAACAGAAGCCATTCTGCTAGGTAGCAGTTTAGCAAGACACAGGGTATGTCTTGAGGTCTTCTTCCAATCAAATGGGGCATATAGACACCCTGATTTTAGTTTAAAACTTTGGGCTCTGAGTATAATTACCAACCCTAGAAAGTTTCTAAATTTGACCTAAGTATATGCTCACATATACAGTTGACCCTCAAACAACATGGGGGCTAAAGGGGCCAAACCCCCATGCAGTCAAAAATCTGTGTATAACTTTTGATTCCCCCACAACTTAAGTACTGACAGTCTACTGTTGACTGAAGCCGTACTGACAACATAAACAGTAGATTAACATGTATTTTTTGCTGTAAGTATTATATACTATATTCTTACATAAAGTAAGTGAGAGAAAAAAGATTATTAAGAAAGTCATGAGGAAGAGAAAATACAGTTTTAATACTTGCGCTGCATTTATCAAAAAAATCCACGTGTAAATAGACCTGCATAGTTCAAACCTGTTATTCAAGAGTCAACTGTATTTCACTTTAAAAAATTTTTTTTTTATTTTTTAGGGAGAGAGAGACAGCATGAGCATGGGAGAGGGGTAGAAAGGGAGAGAGACAGATAGAGGGAAGGAGGGGGAGAGAGAGAGAGAGAGAGAGAGAGAGAGAGAGAGAGAATCTTAAGCAAGCTCCGTGCTCAGTGCAGAGGCCAATGCAGGACTCAATCCCACGACCCTGGGATTATGACCTGAGCCGAAATCAAGAGTGGGATGCTCAACTGACTGAGCCACCCTGGTGCCCCTGTATTTCAGTTTTTAATCAGCATTCTTGTATCAAGCTCCCAACTGTGTGTCAGGTTGGGACTATGAATACAGCACACAAGCTCTTTGAGGGAGCTTACATTCTGCCAGATGATATAGGTAATAAGTCAATAAGTGTCTTTCTAAGATAGCTGAGAAATAAATAATCTGAGGACAGATACCATATATTTTTTATTCACTATTTAATTTTCCGAATTTAATCAGGTTTTTGTTCTAACAATATGACCACTTAGATTTAGTTATATGTAATACAAATTCTCCAGAGTTTCATAGCTTCAAGATTTAAGTTTAGTGGGACGCCTGGTGACTCAGTTAAGCATTGGACTTCAGCTCAGGTCATGATCTCAAGGTTCATGAGTTTGAGCACAGAGCCTGCAGATCCTCTGTCCCCCTCTCTCTCTGCCCCCTCCCCCACTTGTGCGCTCACTCTCTCTGAAAATTAAATAAACATTTTAAAAAACAGATATAAGTTTAGTAAGCCTCTGATGTATGTTATTTATGTTTAGAAAAATGAACATTTTACAAATCAAAAAATTGTTAAACTTTGGCATTGGCAAAGAAAAGGTCTTAGTTCAGGGGAAGTAGTTTTCTGTGCCAGTTTTATAAGCTTATATATGCTTTCAGTTACAAATTATAAACTCTACTTCAAATTGGCTTAAAAGATAATATGCCTCATATTATAGGACGTCCATAGATTAGAGCAAACTTTGGTTGGTTCAGCCCATTGATATCATCAATTACCCATTTCTTTCCCTTTCAATTTACCATCCATAGTATTGGTTTCATCCTAAAGCTTGTCTTCCTCATGGTCATGAGGTGACAGCCAGCAGCAACTGGAGTAACATGTTCTTTGCTCCTATGTGGCTAAGAGACTTAGACCGGCTTTTCTTTCCCAGAAGCCCCAAGCAAGCCTCTCCTTGTATCTCATCGGGCTCAGCTGACTTAGCCCAACCCTGAACCAGTCTTAAGACCAACACTCTTCAATATAAAGAATTTTACAGTCTACCACTGTGTCTACGATTATCTTAAAATACTAAATTGTTCAAACTATCCTAGTATATTTATGTTCTTTTGAAAGTTTATTTAGCCTGTTGAAATACTGAATCCAAAGAAATTTATGAGAACTTTCTCTCTTCATTAGGACAAACAGCATATTCTGTGGCCTAAAAGAGCAGATTGTGTAGAAAGTTATCCGAGAGTCCCTATTGGTGGGGAATTGCCAACGTATTTTCTGCCTCCGGAAAACAAAGGACTCAGGCAAGTGCTGATGGATTTGGCAAAGCACTTGATTCTGCATGATTGTCATCTGGCAGTTCTTTGAGAGCACCATCCTTGGACTTGAAAGGTTAAGTCTTTATCTTGAAATCACCCAAACTTTGAAAATATGAATCTTGTTCCTTTTTCTTGTGCCAGGATCCACGAACTCAACAGTGATGATTATTCTTCAGAAGAAGAGGCCCAAACCCCTGACTGTTCCATAACTGACTTCAGAAAAAGCCAGACTCTGTCCTACTTAGTCAAAGAATTAGAGGTCCGCATGGATCTGAAAGCCAAAATGCCAGATGACCATGCACGAAAAGTAAGGCTCACTTAGGCTGGTGTTTATTGCCGTCCATACTGGGTGACTTCACAAGCCTCTTAGGCAGAACAAAAAATTGGTAGTTGTTGAACTTAAAGTTTTTAAAACTAGAGATAGAGTTACAGAATTGGTGAAATCATTAAGAAGACAATCATGCCGTTGAAGGTGCTTCAGGGCTGCTGTTTACACAGACCACATAAGCACTCTCTCTAAGAGTGCTACAAAGATGAGCAACACAGAACTCTGTTTAGTTAAATGAAGCTCATCTACTGGAGGCCATTCTAACCACTTCAATTTAGTGGTCAAGCCTCCAGGAATTTATATAAATTGAAAGCTTGAAGATTCTCTTTCTGGCCTTATCAACCTGCTCTGGCCTTATATGAGGTCCTTAGAAGTTTGTATGAATTATAGCTACCTTACAGACATTATAGAGAAGTTCTGTTAAGTTTTGTTCTTTAATTCCTACTAGTTAATGTATAACTAGGAATGTTTTATTACTGAATATAAATTCTACATTCAATACCATACCATTCCATAGATACAAATGAAAAAATTACTTTTTTGGCAGAGAAAACACACCATCACAATAACCTTTTTAAAAAGTCAATTTTAAAACTGAACAGTTACTACTTACAGTCAACAAACATTTACTGAAGCAGAAAACATTATGTGCCAGGCACTGTTTGGAATACTAGGAAAGGTAAATAGACCATGATCCCTACTGTAGAGTTGCTCACAGTTGCACAGATGTTACAGGACCATAGAGCAATTGAGATCCAGTGCTTTTCCCACTAGAAAAGATAGAAGATTTTTTATTGTATCAAGTATTAGATGCTATTGTCTTTTGAAAAATTTCTCTTTTGATTTTGGACACTTATGTTGACTTTAATGGGGTATGGTATATCACCTTAATAATGTATGTGGTATACATCTTTTAACATGTTTTAGTTAAAGGAAACTAGGGTATTCATATAAGCAGGTCAACACCTGTTGGTATGCTGATGACTTCATGTTTTTATATATGTATGTGTGTATATATATATATGTGTGTGTGTGTGTGTGTGTGTGTATCTATATATATGTTTATAAATATCTATTCAAATTAGCTGTTCCTGAGGAGCTCAAGTCAAGACTGCTATCTGTAGAATTCTTTCAAATGTATTCCCTGTTATTTTCAATTGAGTCAGTCTTCCTTTTGATGTTTTCAGATTTTGCTTTCCCGTATTAATAACTATACTATCCCAGAAGAAGAAATTGGGTCTTTCTTATTTCATGCTATTAATAAGGTAAGTCACCTACTTTAGACATCTGAAATTTAAATGCTTAGTAATTGTAATTAAAAGTTAAACTGCATGCACTAAAAATCTGTCAGAACAAGTACTATATTCTTGCATTAACTGAGGTATTTTGGGTTTTTTTCAGCCAAATGCTCCTGTCTGGCTGATACTCAATGAAGCTGGACTCTACTGGAGAGCAGTAGGAAACAGCACTTTTGCTATTGCTTGTCTTCAGAGGGCTTTGAATTTGGCTCCACTTCAGTACCAGGACATTCCTCTTGTGAACTTGGCCAACCTTTTGATTCACTATGGCCTCCATCTTGATGCCACTAAGCTGCTACTTCAAGCTTTGGCCATCAATAGCTCTGAGGTGAGGTTTTATGTTTGTAGCTCCATGTACTGTGTCGTGGTAGCTCAAATTCAGAGCACAGTTTGTATTTTTCTGGGGAGGGCATAAAAAAAAAATCTCGCCTATTTTTCAGAGCAGAATTTGCATATTTTGAGATGACATAAAACAGATTTTGTTTCATTTTATTTCTGATGTATTCATTTTTTTTGTATTGATTTGTCTTATTTTGTACAAATGTAGAATCATGCTAATTATATTTTTCTGTATCTTGCCATTACAGCAATATATCCCTGATATATTTTAGATGTATTTAATTTCTTTTTTCTTAATTTTAATTCCAATGACATATAACATGCAGTGTTATATTAGCTGTACAATGTAGTGATTCAACAATTCCATACATCACCAGTGTTCATCACAAGTGCACTCCTTTTTTTTTTTTTTTAATGTTTATTTACTTATTTTGAGAGAGAGTGTGAGAGCATGAGCAAGCACAGGCGAGCATGGGGCAGAGAGATTGGGGAGTGCGGGAGAGCACATGCATACTTGTGAGAGCACAGGGGAGGGGCAGAGAGAGGGAGAGAATCTCAGGCTCCATGCTGTCAGTGCAGAGCCCCATGCAGGGTTCCATCTCCCTAACTGTGAGATCATGACCTGAGCCAAAATCCAGAGTCAGGTGCTCAACCGAGTCACCCAGGTGCCCCTCAAGTATGCTCCTTAATCCCCATCATCTATTTCACCCATGATCCCCCTGCCCACCTCCCTTCTGGTAACCATCAGGTTGTTCTCTATAGTTAAGAGTCTGTTTCTCGGTTTGTCTCTTTCTGTCTCTTTTTTTCTTTTGCCTGTTTGTTTTGTTCCTTAAATTTTACATTTGAGTTAAGTCATATGGTATTTGTCTTTCTCTGTCTTATTTCACTTGGCATTATATTCTCTGTCTTCATCCATCTCATTGCAAATGACAAGATTTCACCCTTTCTTTTTTTTTATTATTTTTTTTTTATTTTAATTTTTTTTTCAACGTTTTTTATTTATTTTTGGGACAGAGAGAGACAGAGCATGAACGGGGGAGGGGCAGAGAGAGAGGGAGACACAGAATCGGAAACAGACTCCAGGCTCCGAGCCATCAGCCCAGAGCCTGATGCGGGGCTCGAACTGACGGACCGCGAGATCGTGACCTGGCTGAAGTCGGACGCTTAACCGACTGCGCCACCCAGGCGCCCCAGATTTCACCCTTTCTTATGACTGGTTAATATTTCATTGTGTATATACACCTCATTTTCCTTGTCCATTCATCAATCAATGGATATTTGGGCTGCTTCCATATCTTGGCTATTGTAAACATCAACATAGGGGTTCATATACCCCTTTGAACCCTTTGAATTAGTGTTTTTTTTATTCTTTGGATAAATATCCAGTGGTGTGATTACTGGATCATAGGGTAAGGGGGTTTTTTTGGTTTTTGTTTTTTTAATGTTTTAAGGAACTTACTATTTTTCACAGTGGTTGCACCAGTTTGCATTCCCACCAACAGTGTACAAGAGTTCCTTTTCTCCACATCCTTGCCAACACTTGATGTTTCTTGTGTTTTTCATTTTAGCCATTCTGATAAGTATGAGGTGATACCTCATTGTGGTTTTGATTTGCATTTCCCTGATAATGAGTGAGGCTGAATATCTTGTCATGTGTCTGTTGCCCATCTGGATGTCTTCTTTGGAGAAATGTCTGTTCATGTCTTCTGCCCATTTTTTAACTCGATTATTTGTTTTTTGGGTGTTGAGTTGTATCAGTTCTTTATATATTTTGAATACTAACCCTTTACCAGATATGTGATTTGCAAATATGTTAATTGTTTGTTAATTGTTTTGTTAATTGTTTCCTTCACTGTGCAGAAACTTTTTATTTTGAAGTAGTCCCAATAGTTTATCTTTGCTTTTATTTCCCTTGCCTCAGAGACATATCTAGAAAAATGTTGCTATGACAGGTGTCAGAGAAATTGCTGCCTGTGCTCTCTTCTAGGAGTTTTATGGTTTCAGGTCTCACATTTAGGTCTTTAATCCATTTTGAGTTTATTTTTCTGTATGATTTAGAAGGTGGTCCAATTTTATTATTTTGCATATACCTGACCAGTTTTCCCAATACCATTTGTTGAAGAAATATTGGATATTCTTCCCTGCTTGTCAAATATTAATTGACCATACAATTGTGGGTTTATTCGTGGGTTTTCTATCCTGTTCCGTTGTGTATCTCTTTTTGTGCCAATACCATACTGTTCGGATTAGTACAGCTTCGTAATATAATTTGAAGTCCAGAATTGTGATTCCTCTAGCTTTGCTTTGCTTTTTCAAAATTGCTCTGGCCATTTGGGGTCTTTTGTGGTTATATATTAATCTTAGGATTTTTCTAATTCTGCGAAAAATGCTGTTGGTGTTTTGATAAGGATTGCATTAAATGGGTAGATTGCTTTGAGTAGCATAGACATCTTAATAATATTTGTTGTACCAATTCATGACTATGGAATGTCTTTCCATTTCTTTTTGTCATCTTCAGTTTCTTCCTTCAGTGTTTTATAGTTTTCAGAGTACAGGTCTTTCACCTCTTCAGTTAGGTTTATTCCTAAGTATCTTATTATTTTCGATGCAACTGTAAATGGGGTTGTTTGCTTAATTTCTCTTTCTGCTGGTTCATTATAGTGTATAGAAGTGCAACAGATTTCTGCACATTGATTTTGTATACTACAACTTTACTGAATTCATTTATCAGTTCTAGTTGTTTCTTGGTGGAGACTTTAGACTTTTTTTTTATTTTATTTTTTTAATTTACATCCAAATTAGTTAGCTAGACTTTTCTGTATATGGTATCATGGCATCTGCAGATAGTGAAAGTTTTACTTCTTCCATACTAGTTTGGATGCCTTTTATTTCTTTTTGTTGTCTGGCTGCTATGGCTAGAACAGCTAGTACTATGTTGAATAAAAGTGGACATCCTCATCTTGTTCCTAACATTAGAGAGGAAGCTCTGATTTTTCCCATTGAGTATTATGTTTCCTGTGGGTTTTTCATATATGGCCTTTATTATGTTGAGGTATGTTCCCTCTAAACCTACTTTGTTGAGGGCTCTGATTGTCAATGGATATTATACCTTGTCAAATGCTTTTTCTATGTTTATTGAATTGATCATATGGTTTTTATTCTTTCTCATTGATGTGATGTATCATATTGATTGACTTGCAAATACTGAACCACCCTTGCATCCCAGGAATAAATCTCACTTGATTGTGGTGAATGACTTTTTTAATGTATTGTTGGATTGAGTTTGCTGGTATTTTTTGTATCTATGTTCGTCAGAGATCTTGGCCTATAGTTGTCTTTTGTGTGTGTGTGTGTGTGTGTGTGTGTGTGTGATTTATTTTAAATGACTGAAATTTATAATTACATGGTTAATTTACTTGTAAGAACTGATGTTTAAATAAGAATGATCTAGCTACTGGGGTGCCTGGTGACTCAGCTAAGCGTCCAACTTCCAACTTCTGCTTAGGTCATGATCTCACCGTTCATGAGCTCAAGCCCAACGTGGAGCTCTGTGCTGACAGCTCAGAGCCTAAAGCCTGCTTAGGATTCTGTGTCTCCCTCTCTCTCTCTCTCTCTGTCCCTCCCCCACTCATGCTCTGTCTTTCTTGCTTTCAAAGGTAAATAAACATTAAAAAAATTTTTTTTAAAGAATGATGTAGCTACTAAAGATATACTGCTACTTTTTTGTCAATCTGAAACATCTGGTTCTTTTTTTATCCTTCTCATCACAGCATGCATGCTGCTTAATATTATACTGTTTTACAACTTTAATTTATAGATGTCTTTTTACCAACTAAGCCAGAGCACAGTTTAAAGGTTGTATTGATAAGAATAGGTAAACGGATAATATTCATGCCCTGAACTTTCCACATGCAGGCCATGGAGTTAATCACTCCTGTGCAGTTAGTTACTTTTGTTCATAGTTTCTAAGATACCACTTCTTTTTCCATATTTTAACATCTCTGAAATAAGGATGCATGTTACAATTGATGACATCTTAGTTTGATGAAATACAGTTATAATAAATACATAAACTGCTTTTATACCCAGTGTTTAACTCTTTGTAAATTTTATAACCAAAGAAACTTTTAGAAGAAATGTGCCTGAGTGGTTTAAGTTTATCTATGGTATTATTAGAACTAATTTTTTTTTGAGTATGAGAAGAAAGTATTGCCTGTTAAGAATTTCCTTTTAAATATACAAATTCACAAGTAGATTTTAAGTGAAGGTTTACAATTGCTATACTATACAACAGGCCAAGTGCCAAAAAAGTATAGCAAATATTTATCAAATGTTTGCTGTGTGCCAGGTGCAGGTACAGTGAGAACAGATGCTATATAAAAGGGATGTGATGATTGGGCGCCCAAAGAAAGGCTAACACAGTTGTATTCCCCCAATACTTGTTTCGCTTTCTACTGCCATCAGCTAAGGCAATCAGTATTCTTCTAAAGAAAAAAGAGCTCCCTTAGAGATTAGTTGTGGTACTACAGTAATAATAAAAAGATAAATCAGTGGATCAGAGTAGATATCACAGAAATATACCTTAATCAGCACCCCACCCCCAAATGTCAACATTTGGAAATAATTCCTGTATTTCTTCTAACCAAATATTTCATAGTGTTGCAACACTATTGTACTGGTGATCGTTAAAGAATATTATATAAAAAAGTTTTAGTACCAGACAGTTTTTATTAGCCATCAATAATGACTCTATATGAATTTATATATCACAGCTTACTCCTCACTTGTTGGGTATTTAGGTTCCACAGTGCGTAGCTGTTATCAATAATAATTTTCTGCATAAGGCCTTTTCTGTATTCCAGATAATTTTCTTAGGAAAGATTGCTAGCAGTGGAATTACTAAGTCAATGAGAGAATGAATGTTATGATGGCTTTGATACAAAATGCCAAACATCTACCAAAAGATTTGGGCCAATATATATTGCCATA